CAGGGTGGGGAAATACACACTCAGTAACAGGAAACATATCAGCAGGCAGTCCCATCAGGGGGAAGGGCTGCCGGAAACACCCCCCACCAAGCCAATGCACAAACACATACATCTCATAATAGTTTGCTCCCAAGCCAGACACACAATAGAAAAATGGGATGCAGCCGCATGGCAGTGAACAATAAACAACCCCCACCTATACATGTCTACACAATAGCAGGACATTCCACCCTGTACCCCTAACAGGCACAGGGTGACTTACATATAAGAGGGATATGGGGAGCTGAGACAGGGGTCTCCCCACCTCTCTAAAGGGGGCTGTGTTCCATGGGGCCCCCCCCCCCACCCAAAGTGACTCCCGTCACATCAGCTTCCTGTAATTCCTTGTGTAGGGGGATTTAAATTAGTAAATGAAGAATCAGCACTAGGCTCTGCACGTGCACGTGATGACAGTGAACATGCTAACACAGTGGTGGTCACCTTTGTATATGAGAGCCTCAAGTGTGGCACCTGACCTATCTGAAAGGTTACGAAATATTTGAAATTTTTTTTACATTTGCTAATCTAATCCCAGGGGTGGAGTCTGTGACAAATGGGGCTGAAAGGAAAGATGAAGCACTATGAGAATATACTTATGAAAATTATTTAAGAGAGAATACAACTTCCCACGATGATGTATTGTATTGTAATGTATTTTTTCATTTCCAAGCATGCACAGTCTTGGTCACTCAATTTTGTACTGACAAATACTGTACCGATTGGACAAAAATTGTTCTGTTATCTTACAAGAAAAATGTTTGTGGCTTGTCTCTAATTTTGCATGAACTGTCGTGATTGGCTCTCGGAAGCTGTATACTAACAATCAAATTATCGGACGAACGCTCTAAAATCTTTTTTTTTTCATCCAACATTCTCATCATGTGTACCAGGCTTAAGAGTGCATGGTAAGTCACTATTGTCCTCATTTACCTTTCTGACATGTATATGAATGGACTTTTTTACCTTCAAAACCATACATTATGAATTGGTCTGAAGATAAACAAACCCATGGAAGATGTTACTATGCATGTCAGGGAAGGAGAATCAGCAGTCTGACAGGCAGACAGGAGGCCCAGGAATGACCTGACTGGGGGGAACATGAGCAGGAGTAAAGCACATTGACTTGGAAAAAAAGAGGAAGGATGGGGGAGTCTGACAAGGGGAGAGATGTGACAATCTTTCAGTGCTCCTAAATTAATGACTGGAGACTTTGTTTACACTTCTACAGGAAGGTTTTACACTATAGAAGCCTTTCTTGTTTTATATATGGAAAGTTGTTATGTCAATGGTATCCTATTGGTGAAAGGAGAAGAGAAGACCCTGGCTTGAGAGTGACCCTGGAAGGTGTAATCAGCTGGGAAAAACCTAAGCACTTAAAGTTGTTCTAAAGGCTCAAGGTTTGTTTACCTTCATGCATTCTATGCCTTCTGTTTGCAGCAGCTCCCCCCCAGCCCCCTCAATTCTTGCCTGAGCCCCCTCGGATCCAGCAACATTCTCGTCAGCCTCTGCTATCTGGGGACTCTTCCTCCTCATTGGCTGAGACAGCAGCAAGAGTCAATTGGTTCCCGCTGCTGCCAATCACAGGCAGTGGGCCAATGAGGAGAGAGCAGGGTGGGGGAGGGGCGGAGCCATGTCTCTATGTGTCTTATGGATGCATAGAGTAGTGGCTCAGGGATGAGCATGTAGCGATGCCCCCAGGGTGTGGGCTTTCCCATGGGGCACTGCTCGACAAGGAGAAGCCAGTAGCACCGGCAGGGACCCAAAAAAGAGGATCGGGGCTGCTCTGTGCAAAACCATTGCACAGAGTAGGTAAGTACAGACATCTCCTAGATTGTAAGCTCGTAAGAGTAGGGCCCTCTTACCCCTCGTACGTTGTTTGTTGTTGTTGTACTGTGCCATGTATTGTCCCCCCTATCGTACAGCGCTGAGCAAACCCTTTGGCGCTATATAAACTCGTAGTAATAATAATGTTTGTTTGTTTTTTTTCAAAATAAAAGCTTTAGAGTCACTATAATGACCAACTGTATTTTAGGTGATCATGGTGATTTGTTGAGTTTTCTGGTGGGGAGGTGGAAGATCACGGATGTTATGCATGAATGATGAGCACAAGAAGCAATATAACAAAGGGAATAATACTTTGAAGGAATTTTGCAGCACTGAGCACTTTTTTAAAATATTTAACAAACACACTTTACAGTATTTATGTACAGACACTTTGATATATTTGATGTAATATAATATTTATTGGTTAATGAATGATGCCTATGTTAGCGCTGTATATGTGGTAATCAATACTGCTTTGACACTAAAGTTTAAGTGTTGCAATACAGCAGCCGCTGTATGTACAGTATAGTGGACCCTAGTGCAGGTGAATTGTGGTAATATTACTTATCAAGGAAAAATCTGTGTATGTATGTGGAGTTCCCCTTTAAAGTCCTTGCCAAAATGTTATCCTGGATAATGGTCTGATATAGATGTTGATGGTAATCACCCAGCTGCTTTGTTTATAAAGAGAACAATGCTGTCTGAGAAATGTCATTGCAATAATTTTTTTTACCTAAATGTTTCTTTTTCTGTAGTACATCCTACAGGTGTGCCACTTCACATGCAGTTTAAGGCATCCTCAAAGCACATTATTTAAAGGAATTGTGTATTTAAAATGTTGCCCTTTAAGTCTAATTAAAAGACCTAACTTGGATCCCTGTGTTCAGGGTTTGAAGACTTTTTTCATTTGTTCAGCAAATGTTCAGTGAACCAAATTTTTGGTTAACTCATCACCCTTTCATCTTCCTTTCAAACAACAAAGCAATTGATCTTTGGTTAAAGGCATGGTTAACTGTAGATATGTGATAAAACTAATCAAACCCAATTATATCTGTAAATCCTGTGGCCAAAGAAAACAATAGTTCAGCATCTCAGGTATCCCTTACTGCATTCTTTATAAAGCTAAATTCACAGATGCCATCAAACTACTGTAAATCTGCCCACATGGCTTAACAGATAAAACTGAAAGGAAAAGTGACAGACTGTGTGCCTTAGACCATTCATAGCAATTGTTTTAATTGTTATGGTATAGTGAAGTAAAAAAAAGTGCTATGCCTGAATTTAGGTGATACCATCATATTAAAACCAAAATCTAATTGCTTTTTATCGCTTTACTCGGTGTATTATTATTTTGCCTGTCTTTTTTTTTTTTTTTTTTGTAATAACAATTTTTATTGATTTTCAAAAATATACAAACAGTATGTTTAAGAAAAAAAAAAAAAGGATAAGAAAAGAAAACAAGCAAAATAGAAAGTTACATCGATGGCAAAAATTTTGCCTGTCTTTATTAACCGCTTCCTGCACCGCCCTATATGAGAAATACTGCTACAGGGCGGCACGGGTGTGCAAAATCACATATATATACCTCAGAGCTGAGATAGGGAATATGTCCCCGAAACGCTTCAGCAGACTGACCGTACCATCAGTTGGTCTGCCACCATTGTGGGCCTTCTGGCGTTTAGGCTTTTTCGTGTACTTAATTTTGTGAGTATGGTTTTTACTTTTCAAATAAACCTTGTAACCTTGTAATCAGGGGTGGACTGACAACTCATGGGGCCCCCGGGCAATAGGGGATCAGGGGGCCCTTGTGTCCTTGCCCAAACTCAAAAAAGCCTATGAAAAAGATCTCATGGGGCCCCCTACTGACCCCGGGCAGTGCCCAAGTTTCCAAATGGTCAGTCCGCCCCTGCTTGTAATACAGATCTCTCCCCTGTCAGCTCCTGTACACTGCTTTGCATGGCTCTTACAGTGAAACACACACACAGCCCCCATAGTAAAACAGTACACAGTTAACCCTTTGATTGCCCCACATGTTAACCCCTTCCTGCCCTGTGCCATTAGTACAGTGTCAGTGCTTTTTATTAGCACTGATCACTGTATTGGTGTCACTGGGGATGTCAGTGACACCAAGTCAGTTCCACCCCCAGTGTTAGAATGCCTGCCGCAGTCCCGTTATGAGTCGCTGATCGCCATCATTACTAGTAAAAAAAATTATAATAAAAAATTCCAGTATACATACCGCCATTTGTAAATGCTATAACTTTCACATAAACCAATCAGTTTACACATATTGGGATTTGTTTTAGCAAAGACATGTAGCAGAATACATTTTGGTCTAAATTTATGCCAAAATTTGATTTTTAACATTTTTTACTGGACACGTTTAATAGAAAAAAGTATAAAATATATACTTTTTTTTTCAAAATTTTTTTGTTTATAGCACAAAAAATAAAAACACACAGGTGATCAAATTAGGTGCAGAGTTGCATGACTGCGCAATTGTCCGTAATGCAGAGCCGTATCGCAAAAAATGGCCTGGTCAGGAAGGGGGGTAAATCCACTGGAGGGCAAGTGGTTAACTATGTGTCACTGCCCTTATTGTTATTGCATGCTGTATCTGTAGCTGACTCTGTTACACAAGACTGCTAGAACTTTTAGAATGACATAACCTTTATGAAGCCCTTCAGCTGCCAATTCCTGCCTTGACACAAAATCTCTAAATATCCTTCTGTGAAGGAAATAATGCAAAGAAAAATCTTGCAGAAACATGGTTTCATATGGAGGCTGAATGAATCTGGGGCATTTTAGGACTAAAATGGTATCAGGAAACTTACTGCCCTACTTAGCTTGAATGATGCAGCCTTCTCTCTTTCATCCCTACCAGCCTGTGTGGGAATGTAACAACTACATACAATGGTCAAAAGTATGTGGAAAACCCTTCAAATGATTGAATTCAAGTGAGGGGTACTGTTTATACTACAGCATACTGTAGACATTTAGGACTTTCGTGAACTTCAAATCTTATGGTGACAGTTTGAGTAGGCCGTTTTCTGTTGTAGCCCCTTGAACAACAACCAAAAATAAAATAACTCCACAAAGACATGTTTCAACAGGTTCCATGTAGAGGACTTTGTTTGGCCCAGGGGCGGACTGACCATTTGGAAACTCAGGCACTGCCCGAGGTGCCCGGGGTCAGTAGGGGCCCTATGAGATGCCCCTGGTACCTTTTTCATAGGCTTTTTTTGAGTTTGGGCAAGGACACAGGGGCCCCATGATCCCCTATTGCCCGGGGGGCCCCATGAGTTGTCAGTCCGCCCCTGGTGTGGCCTGAAAAGATTCCTTACATCAAACTTGCTGAACAATTTGGGATGAATTGGAATGCTGATTGCATGCCAGGTCTCCTAGTTCAACATTAGTACCTAACCTTGTGATGATAATGAGGTCTGATTACCCCAAAACTGTGTGGAGAGAAGATGAAAACCATACCAACATAGCGCCATGCTAATGTCTCAAACATTTGCACATCAGAGACACAATTTAGGACACAGTTTTACGCAAAGCAGAGAAAATTAGATGGATTGCAGAGGTTTCATAAAATCTTCTTTAGCAGAATGGGAGACTAATATGTAATGGTCCCAGCGATAAATAGCCAGGTCATAAAACAGTCTGGAAGAGCAGTGTGAGCAATACACATCTGTAAGTCTAGTTTTCGTTGCCCTGAAACTACCCTTTCATACATGTCAACTTTTCTCATTTTTCATCATTCCTATGATAACAGAGTTACATTCTTAGAAAGTGATTACACAGATGTATGGATATATGGAAGATGTCAATCAGTTAGAAATAAAACACACCTAGGTGTCAGGAAAGAAAATGCCAATAGACAAGATGGCTCTTCTGGACAGACTTCTGTGCACAGGCTAATACATGTTCCCTCTCGTGCTTGCAGAAATTGGGCACATGCTCACACACATATGCGGGCGCACATCGGTGCTTGTACCCACGTGCATACTCTTGCACTCTGGTGCTCATGTGCACTTGTGACAGATGCTGGTGCCAAGCGGGCTATTTAAACTGAGCTAGGGCTCTGGATCAATGCTGCTTTCTCTTCAGCCTTCTGTGTTCTTGTGATCCTGTATCCTGTTTCCAGTTACTGATCTGGATTGTCCTGACTACCCCCCTCTGCCTGCACTGACCTCGGCTTGTCCCCTAACTTACACTTCTGTCTGTTCCATTGGCTTCTGCTTCATTGATCGGCTTCCAGACCCATCTTGTACCTAGACCATGCTTCTGCCTGTGCCCTGTACCTGATATGTCCTACCTGTGTACTACCTGGCCTGCATGACTACAGTCTGCTACCAGCCACTGTCTCATCTGCCTGCTGTTACCAATACCAGTCTTCTTCAATCTGCTACCCCGCTGCCTGCCTTACTGAAGAATCCTGATGATTTTACCTGCCCAGTGTGGACACCTGTTACTGCTAGTAAGACTTACAGACACTCATGCCACTCTACACTCCTGCACCTTCTGTTTACACTACCAGAGGCCTCGAGTCAGATGTGTAAGAGAGGCCTTCCTCATCATATCAGGCTCGGCTACCAGGTTTGTGATACTATGTAACAAGGTTAAATAGGCTGCTAAAACACATTAGCCCTCCTAAGTACATAAAATCCATATAATATTAGGTCTCTATCCAATCATAATTCCATTCTGTTCAATAATATGAGTGATGTCAGATTGTGAAACCTTTTCAGATTGACATATAGATGTATTTAAAATAATTGGCATTTAAAACACTTTACACCTTTCAGCACATCTGCAGACAGGGGCGGACTGACAACTCATGGGGCCCCCGGGCAATAGGGGATCATGGGGCCCCTGTGTCCTTGCCCAAACTTAAAAAAGCCTATGGAAAAGGTACCAGGGGCATCTCATGGGGCCCCCTACTGACTCCGGGCCCTCAGGCTGTGCCTGAGTTTCCAAATGGCCAGTCTGCCCCTGTGTGCAGATCATTTGATTGGGATTGGGATGTTAATTCTGTAAACTCTCTCTCTAGGGGCCAGAAAAGATGGTTGCATTTGCAGCTCTTGACTCTTTTCTACCATCTAAAGGGATGCTAAGGGGGTGATTTATGAGAGCCAGTGACTCTGCTATGCCAGATTGGACTTATTCTGCCAGAGAAAAGGACTCTGCATGTAATGAAAATCAGGTGTACTTTACTTTTAGTAAGTATTCTTCGGGAGCTAATGACAGCGTGGGTAGGGCAGTGCGCACGCGTGTAAAATCACATATATTTATGTGATTTTGCACAGAGTGGCTGCCCTGTAGCAGTATACATTATGTATACATCATAATAATTTTTAAAATGAAAAGAAAATAGGTAATAGAATTCTATCTCTTTGTCTCTGTTTAGTGTATTTTATTATTTGAGGCATTAAAAAAAGAAATCCAACTTTAAAACTGTAAAGAGACATGAACACAATCCTGTGCCTAGTTTTGAAAATGCCTTTTTTAATTATTTAAAAATAATTTTTTTGTATAATAAATTATTGAAATCACCAAATAATACTCAATGGAAGGGAAAAACATTTTTTTACATTTATTAGGGGTATACAGCTGTGGCCGCTGAAGTGATTTTTTTTTTTTCTTTTATATGCTACCTTGTACCTTTTACTGCAATACTTCCTGTATCCCTTGTGCTGTTTCCTATTGACTTACCACTTCAAAGTCAAGCTCTGCTCATCTTCCAGGGTGGTCGATAGGTAGCATTGCTAGGCTGCCATGCTCCCAACCATTGGGAAGGCATTTGCAAATGTACAAAAAGAAACCAATTGCGTAGATCTTCAGACATTTTGGGGGTGCACTTGAGCCATTCTGAATCTACCATGTTGATCACCATTGGTTTATGGGTAGAAAGTGAGATGATGGCTATACTGATTTTTAAGGGCCTGGGAAATAATTTTTATAAGCTCCAGCTACTTTACTCATTTTATTGGATTTGCAGTTGAAATACCAGCTTGGTGTCAAGGCTAAACAGTTTCCATACAGTATGTTCGTTTATTTCAGTGGTGTAGTTGGTGGTTTACTAAATTAGAGTGATATTGGACTGGTTTAGGAGGTTTGATAGGCCTGTAAGTTTCACAGACCCAGTGATTTGATTGTTGCCGCCAGCGTATTGAATTTCTTCCTTCTTTACTGACATTTTAACATTAAAATTTGCATCTTTTCAAATGGAAAAATATGAAGCACAGCTTTTGTGGTGAATATTCTAATGTAAACATGTTAGAATATGCTAGAATGTGGGTAAAACAAAGGTTTATTCATGCTGTAAGTGGGCAGTGGGTGGATGGAATTGAACATAATATACCATGATTGGTACTATAACTTGCAATTTTATTATCTGTTTTTCATATGAATGTACAAAGAAAAAAAATAGTATTCATGATTTGCAAGAAAATATTTGATTAACCCCTAATGGGAGAAACTAGCTAACATAAAGTGAAAAGACACCACAGAATATTTGATCTTATGAGTTGCTTTTGACAGTTCACTTCTTGTAATGTGACAACTTAGAGTTGTTTAAACAAATAACATTACCAACAAATAGAGACAAATCAATTGGTTGAATTCAAGGTTCCTTCTAGGTTTTCTTGGCTCAATCCTTTAAGACACTGCACGTACAGAAAAATGTTTGTTATTTGCCAGGAATGCATTTGGTTCCTATTCCCTGTTGTGGGCAGATAAGAAAAAGCAGTTTTTGTGGTCTGAGTGTTGTTAACCTTACCCTTTGTCTTTTGCTAAACCACTTAACTACTTCCACTCTCAGATCTATACTGCATAAAATATAAGATAATAACTAGGATGGCTTCCTAAAGTGGAACTAAACTTTCTCATTCTACATTGACTATTTTCAATCCTTATGCTGCTAACATTAATACACGTGTCAAACAAGATGCCTGTGGGCCAAATATGGCCCACCAGGCCATTTCATGGAGCCCTCATCCCATCTTGTTTTCTCCATGCATCTGCAGAGAGGCTCATTTCAATAAAACTCCTCCTACAGATCTTGCACCTCTCTGAGATGCTGCAGCACCCTATCGTCTCTGCCTCCTCTGGCATTCAGAAGACTCAGGCAGCTGACTCCAGCCCTCCTCTGGTCCTCCTCTAGACCCTGCACTTTCTACTTCCCAGCTTCACCCCAGCTTCTTCCCAGCAGCAAGTAAGGGAGGGTTCACTGTGATGTAAGGGAGGGTGTGGGACCCTTGACTTCAGATGGTGGATAGGCTCTTGATATCTCATGTAAAGCCGGGATGAGGTTCTCTGGACATCTGCTTATAAATATTATGAGAATAATACAATCAATTTTATGCCAGTTGAAAAGGAGGGTCACACACCAGTGGTATCATCCACAAGAAACATTATTGGAGCCTGCACATACAAAACACCATGGCAGAACCATGTTCTGTCTGAGCAGTCTCCAATAAGGTTTCTTGTGGAGGATACTAGCAGTTTGAGACCCTCCTTTGCAGACTTTCATCATCTGCTACAGGATTGAAAGTGGGCTCCGTGCTGGTCTACACCTGCCCTTCACAGCTTAAGTCTTATGTTATTACTAAAACCAGTAATAGGTGAATGCAGAGGCAACAGTAAATATATTTATATAGTCTTACAGATACAACCAGCCTTTTGAGGGCAACCATAATGCTTATGTGGCCCGCAATTAAATTGAGTTTGACACCCCTGGATTAGTAAATAGATAGAAAAGTATATCATATTTACTTGCGTTATGCTTTTTTCTTGTTTACTTTTCTGCCATTACTTTCTGGTTTCCAAGGTTAGGAAAATGATGTCATACATAGTAGAGGAGGAGTAGAGGAGGGTTTATCTTATCTAAGCACACTCTCCTGTCTGCATGCCTGAGCTAATGGCAGATGGATTCCAGGAAGTAATTGCTACATAAATCATCTGCCCCTACTCAACATGGCCAGGGCCAGAAATACTAGGGGTGATTTTCAAAGTGATTTCTCAGCAAAATAAAGCATGGAGACATGGATGGATGGGTGAGATTGCTTTGAATATTAAAAATGAATTAAATGGTGTTTTTTGGTTTGTGGTGCTTAGATGCAGTGTAGTTACACTTTATATTAACACAGAGGACATAGGACAGCTTTGAACTTCAAATAAGAGCAATATTTTTTTCTTTGCACTTATCAAACATATTACAAAATGCTTGCAATGATGCAATAACCCTTTTTTCCGCCACCAACATAAGGCTTATCCCATCAGCAACAGGGGTTTTTACACACACTAGGGTGTGTGTGT